TAATCCTAATTGCTCACAAAATGCCTAACCGTAATACGCAATTGCTCAAACTATTTACTAATTAATTAATTAGTAATTAATAATTAAAAGTACAAATTTTTTTATTCCTTAACCGATCAGAAAATTGAATAGGTGCACAAAATTGCTCACTAATTGATCATTTCAAATCTGCAATTGCTCACAATATTTATCAATTATTTTATTAGTTATTAATAATTAAAAATACAAAATTGTTATTGCCTTAAAACCAAAGAACTTTTTTAAAAATGAATAAGTACTCCTAATTGCTCACAAAATGCCTAACCGTAATACGCAATTGCTCAAACTATTTACTAATTAATTAATTAGTAATTAATAATTAAAAGTATAAATTTTTTTATTCCTTAACCGATCATAATATTGAATAGGTGCACAAAATTGCTCACTAATTGCTCATTTCAAATCTGCAATTGCTCACAATATTTATCAATTATTTTAATAGTTATTAATAATTAAAAATACAAAATTGTTATTGCCTTAAAACCAAAGAACTTTTTTAAAAATGAATAAGTACTACTAATTACTCACAAAATGCCTAACCGTAATACGCAATTGCTCAAACTACTTACTAATTAATTAATTAGTAATTAATAATTAAAAGTATAAAAAATTTTATTCCTTAACCGAATATAATATTGAATATGTGCACAAAATTGCTCACTAATTGCTCATTTCAAATCTGCAATTGCTCACAATATTTATCAATTATTTTAATAGTTATTAATAATTAAAAATACAAAATTGTTATTGCCTTAAAACCAAAGTACTTTTTTAAAAATGAATAAGTACTCCTAATTGCTCACAAAATGCCTAACCGTAATACGCAATTGCTCAAACTATTTACTAATTAATTAATTAGTAATTAATAATTAAAAGTATAAAATTTTTTATTCCTTAACCGATTATAATATTGAATAGGTGCACAAAATTGCTCACTAATTGCTCATTTCAAATCTGCAATTGCTCACAATATTTATCAATTATTTTAATAGTTATTAATAATTAAAAATACAAAATTGTTATTGCCTTAAAACCAAAGAACTTTTTTAAAAATGAATAAGTACTCCTAATTGCTCACAAAATGCCTAACCGTAATACGCAATTGCTCAAACTATTTACTAATTAATTAATTAGTAATTAATAATTAAAAGTATAAATTTTTTTATTCCTTAACCGATTATAAAATTGAATAGGTGCACAAAATTGCTCACTAATTGCTCATTTCAAATCTGCAATTGCTCACAATATTTATCAATTATTTTAATAGTTATTAATAATTAAAAATACAAAATTGTTATTGCCTTAAAACCAAAGAACTTTTTTAAAAATGAATAAGTACTCCTAATTACTCACAAAATGCCTAACCGTAATACGCAATTGCTCAAACTATTTACTAATTATTTAATTAGTAATTAATAATTAAATGTACAAAATTTTTTATTCCTTAACCGATCAGAATATTGAATAGGTGCACAAAATTGCTCACTAATTGTTTATTTCAAATCTGCAGTTGCTCACAACATTTATCAATTACTTTAATAGTAATTAATAATTAAAAATACAAAATTGTTATTGCCTTAAAACCAAAGAATTTTTTTAAAAATGAATGAATGAAATGAATTTTGTGACCAATTAAGTGTACCTAACTTTTAATTGGTCACAAAATGCCTAACTGCAATCGGCAATTGCTCACAATAATTATTAATTATTTAATTAGTAATTAAAAGTGCATTGTTTCTCATTGCCGCCCAGATTAATGAATAAGTGCTCAAAATTGCTCACTAATTGCTCATTTCAAATCCGCAATCGCTGGCACTATCAATGAATGTTAGGCATTTTCTGAGTAATTAGGTATACTTATTCATTTTTAAAAAAGTTCTTTGGTTTTAAAGCAATAACAATTTTGTATTTTTAATTATTAATAACTAATAAAATAATTGATAAATATTGTGAGCAATTGCAGATTTGAAATGAGCAATTAGTGAGCAATTTTGTGCACCTATTCAATATTATTATCGGTTAAGGAATAAAAAAAATTATACTTTTAATTATTAATTACTAATTAATTAATTAGTAAATAGTTTGAGCAATTACGTATTACGGTTAGGCATTTTTTGGTCAATTAGGAGTACTTATTCGTTTTTAAAAAAGTTCTTTGGTTTTAAGGCAATAACAATTTTGTATTTTTAATTATTAATAACTATTAAAATAATTGATAAATATTGTGAGCAATTGCAGATTTGAAACGAGCAATTAGTGAGCAATTTTGTGCACCTATTCAATATTATAATCGGTTAAGATATAAAAAAATTTATATTTTAATTATTAATTACTAATTAAATATTTAGTAAATAGTTTGAGCAATTGAGTATTACGGTTAGGCATTTTGTGAGCAATTAGAAGTACTTATTCATTTTTAAAAAAGTTCTTTGGTTTGAAGGCAATAAGAATTTTGTATTTTTAATTATTAAAATAAATGATAAATTGCGTGAGCAATTGCAGATTTGAAATGAGCAATTAGTGAGCAATTTTGTGCACCTATTCAATATTATGTTCGGTTAAGGAATTTTTTTTATTGAGCAATTGCGTATTACGGTTAGGCATTTTGTGAGCAATTAGGAGTACTTATTCATTTTCGAAAAAGTTCTTTGGTTTTTTGGAAATAACAATTTTGTATTTTTAATTATTAATAACTATTAAAGTAATTGATAAATATTGTGAGCAACTGCAGATTTGAAATGAACAATTAGTGAGCAATTTTGTGCACCTATTCAATATTCTGATCGGTTAAGGAATAAAAAATTTTGTATATTTGATTATTAATTACTAATTAAATAATTAGTAAATAGTTTGAGCAATTGCGTATTACGGTTAGACATTTTGTGAGCAATTAGTAGTACTTATTCATTTTTAAAAAAGTTCTTTGGTTTTAAGGCAATACTAATTTTGTATTTTTAATTATTAATAACTAATAAAATAATTGATAAATATTGTGAGCAATTGCAGATTTGAAATGAGCAATTAGTGAGCAATTTAGTGCACCTATTCAATATTATAATCGGTTAAGGAATAAAAAAATTTATACTTTTAATTATTAATTACTAATTAATTAATTAGTAAATAGTTTGAGCAATTGCGTATTACGGTTAGGCATTTTGTGAGCAATTAGGAGTACTTATTCATTTTCGAAAAAGTTCTTTGATTTTTTGGAAATAACAATTTTGTATTTTTAATTATTAATAACTATTAAAGTAATTGATAAATATTGTGAGCAACTGCAGATTTGAAATGAACAATTAGTGAGCAATTTTGTGCACCTATTCAATATTCTGATCGGTTAAGGAATAAAAAATTTTGTATATTTAATTATTAATTACTAATTAAATAATTAGTAAATAGTTTGAGCAATTGCGTATTACGGTTAGACATTTTGTGAGCAATTAGTAGTACTTATTCATTTTTAAAAAAGTTCTTTGGTTTTAAGGCAATAACAATTTTGTATTTTTAATTATTAATAACTAATAAAATAATTGATAAATATTGTGAGCAATTGCAGATTTGAAATGAGCAATTAGTGAGCAATTTTGTGCACCTATTCAATATTCTTATCGGTTATGGAAAAAAAATTGTACTTTTAATTATTAATTTTTAATTAAATAATGAATTAATAGTGTGATCAAATATGATTTTGAATTAAGCATTTCTTGAGCAATTAATGGTATTTATTCGTTTTTAGAAAAGTTCATTGGTTTTAAGTATAATAGGGAAAAAATATTTTGTATTTTTAATTATTAATAACTAATAAAATAATTTATTAATAGTGTGAGCAAATGCGGATTTCAATTGAGCAATTAGTGAGCAATTTAGTGCACTTATTCATTTATCTGAGCGGTTATACTTCCAAGCCAGCTTCTTTGTGGTCCGTAACACTAGGGGAATTGCAGGTGTGTTTTCGGCCTTTTAGAAAGGAGTTAAGTTCTTTTCTTGAAGGTCCCTAAGTCGTATCGTTCTTCTCAAAAACGTTTTTTTCCTAATGTATACGTAATGTTAGGCTATGATGGGGCTGTTATGTCTGTTCGAGACAAAAGCCCGTAAATAAATAAAGGAAAAAGAAATACTGTATTGCCAAGGATGATATATTGTGATATTTGTAAATCACAGCATGACTACAAAAAAATTGTTTTAGAAATTCGTTACCTCTACACCAGAATTTTCTCAGGCAGTTTACAATTTACATACATAAATATCGCAAGGACAAACATCCAGACCCAGGACAATTATTTTGTAGGCGATACAAATACTTGTTCCCTGCGGGATTCGAACTTGCGGCCCTTAGCGCTGCTCATTTCACTCATTGCTAAGCCACTGCACCACACACACACACACCAAAATTTGAAGAAATTTAAAAAAAAAATAAGCGCATAATAAGTGTCTGAAGAAACTGCTTACGTATTGCCTAAATATAGGATACATTGAATTTTTTTAAAAATTCATTAATATAAGAAGTTTTTTACTAAAAGTAAAAACAAATAAACAAAGGTACTGTGAGTACTATTTTTCTTCAAGTCTACATGTTTGTGTTCGTCCTATGACGATTCAAAATCATTCATATTTTTGTATAGTAGTCACCTCACGTCCACACTTCAGCGAAGATACGCGGACGTCATTCAAGGGTTGTTTTTCGAGTGGAGTTTCATTCCATTAGTTATTTTGATCCTACTCGTGGTCTTATGCTATATTATTTATGTATTTCAGATTTCATATGATCATCCTTAACCCAATTGTGACATCATAGCGTGGTGCTTTATACATTTTGTAAAAGTCGAGGTGGAGTGACGTGAAAATTGCAATGACAGTGATCTAAAAATAAGGTCGACGGCGTCGCGCAGCCGAGCGCGCGAACTCTCCAGTCGAGGTGCGACCGCCGCGAGTTTCAGTCGAACGATCCCGAATCAGCAGCCATGGTGTACGAAAGCGACTTCTATACAACCCGCCGCCCCTATCGGCCATCCAGCTACAGCGTAACGGTGAGTCGCTGCCTTCTAACACTTATTGAGCGTGCACCTCGCTCCACTCTATCCCGGGAGCCGGATGCCCCTCGCACCGATTCGACCCTCGCTGTTTGCATGTCCCGTTCGGACAACCCCCCAGTGATGTACGCGGTTTAGGTTCCTACGTGGCGTAATCGGATCTCGTTTAGCGTTCCCGACACGCGTCTCGCTGCTTGTAAACATTGCTTCTTAAGTCTATAACGTCGTTGTAGGGTTCGATAGGGCGTCGCTTCGCAAAGTGGGTCAGGTCGAAACGAGAAACTGTCGGAAAGCAAAGCTAGCGGGCGCGCCAAATATAGCCGCGGCTGGAGTCGGCGCCCGCGCGACTAACGGCGTCTTCTCCGCTTGCAGCGGACGCTCGGCGATTGGGAGAAGGTGCCGTTCGTGCCGCGGCCGAGCCTCGTCCCCGATCCGGTGACGGCGTTCGGGCGGCGCGGACGAGCGGGCGCGCGGGGGTCACCTCTCGAGCCGGTCACGCGTCAGAACATCCCGCCTAAGCCGGAGTCGAAGCTGGCGCCGCTCGCACCGTACGTGTCGCCGCGCGAGCAAACCCGCGAGCGGGTGCTGGCGGCGGTGGGACACCGCGAGCGCGTGTTCGAGGCGGACCCGCTGGGCACGCCGCGGGACCACATGGACGTGTTGCTCGCGCAGGCGCACGGCCGCCCATTGCATGCGCCGCGCCGCCACGTCTATTACAGCAACTACGCGTCCTACTGAGGGGGTCGCGTGCCATGTGTGTAGCTTTCGCTTGTAGTCGGGCGATCGGGTCGGTGCGAAGCGCGGGCGGGTGCTAAGGGCGCGGTTGTTGCAGACGCCGCGGCACTACGTGGTGGTGGACCGGGAGCCGCTGTCGCGCCGCGCCGAAGAGCAGTACTCGTACTCATATTCGAGCAACAGCGAGCGCTCGACGGGCAGCGGGCTGCCGCAGCGCAGCTCGTACAGCAGCACGGTGGAGCGGCGCACAGGCAGCGGCCCCGGCGGCTACAACTACAGCAGCGAGCGCTCCAGCAGCCTGGGCGGCCCCGGCGGCTACTCCTACTCGTCCACAACCAGCGGCCGCCTGCCCTACGGCACCACATACCGCCACTACTCTTACCGCGTGTAGCGCCCCGGCTCCCGACTTCCCTCCACATCCCTCTTCACTCAACTCCTGAGCCGCGCTCCCTGTCCCGATCTATCAGTATTCGCTAACGCAATGTGATCGCTCTACTTTACCGTCAGAAGTGGACGTGAATCTTAAAGAGCTTTTTTGATGTTTTTGGTATAAATTATATTATTATAAATGTTAATTAGATTGAAGTTATAATAAAGCTTGCATTTTTCTAATAATTCTTCTTTCTTTGTGTTGCTCCTTGAGGTGCAGAATCGTTAATGGACACGATCTCTGTTTACTAACAACTGTGTTTGAAGTTTAAAACATTAGAGTGATAAAGTTTGAAGTTATTGGCAGATCCTTCAGAATTACTTTCATCCTGAAATTGTTTCCTATAATATCACATAATTAGTAAAATTTTAATTATTTAATGGTTAGATAAGTTGCATACATCATAAAAGGATATGTACTGCATAGGAATATTAAATTTTTCATTTAAGAACTTCTGAATGAGATGAGAATAGAAATGTATGGTTACCTACTTATGCTCATATTTAATAAGCTTTATATAAACAATGTAAAGATATTTTAAAAGAAATATGTTAGTAGGTATGTACATATTCTAATACATGGAAAAGTAAATTTTATATCCTATGAGAAAAGAATATTTCATTATTTATGAACAGTTATTGTAGATTGATGAACAATTATAGAAGATTTAAGTATTATAATAATACTTAAAAGTTCTAAAATATATATAAAAGCTGACCGTATAATGATAAAAATTGGTATTTTAGGCCACCTATATAAATCATTAAACGCAAATTTCGTTCACAACTGATGAATGAAAGATGGAATGGTCTTCGACAAACAACAAAGCAATTCAAAGTTAAGATTTTTAAATAGTAGTTCGCAAGATAATTAATTTGATTAAAATATTTTAAATACCAATTTCACCATCTTTTTTTGATACTAGTTTTTTAATCATGTTATTGATATTGGTAGATCCTTAAATTACTACATAATATTATATTACAATTTTATTTAAAATCGTTAAGTGTACTTTTTTCGACTAATTTAATTCGCTTAATTTTTAAAATTTTGCGAAAAGTACGTGTACTTAGATGCTTAGACAGTAAACTTATTTAATTTCTATTGATTTAGCCAATGTATTTCTTTGGTTTAATAATAATTAACTTTTGAGGAATACGAAGATCTGCGACTTAAAAAAACGTAATAAACAATTAATTATATTAGGTATAATAAGAAAATCTTAACAAGAAAAATAATTCTCACGTTATGAAGTATACAATGAAATTGTAATTTTAAATAAATGCCCTGTTTCCATTGCTACGCCGCTGCCGGCAGCCGCTGACGTCAGTCTACTACTTTTCGCCTTTTGAGTCGTATTACAATACTCCGTACATAACGTACACACCCAGGCTGTCTCAGGTGAGTTGATTACAATTGTAACATCTTTGATGCTTCACTCAACCGATCAAGGCATTATGTATATTATACCATCACGCATTATAAGCACTGGCAAGTAGAAAGAGGCTTAGCTGCAACGTGATTTAACATCGCACCAAAATCAGTCTGCACATATAGATTTTCATGTTTAACCTCAATGTTTAACATCATTATTATTTTAGCTTGTAAATACTTGATTGATGAAACTATGGATTCATTAATTGATAGATAACATTCCATTAGGTTTAAGTAGATAATTGTAGTGTAAATCAGCTGTAGTGAGTAGTACTCACGGAGCAAAGTGGTAGTACTAAATAAAGGTAAAAATAATATTGAAGTGTTACAAATAGTTTCAAATGTCCGTGGAAAATATTTCACTTCTAATGAAAATTACATTTTACTTTTAATTACAAAAGTCGTAATTAATATAGTGTTGCAAAATAAAATTGATGGAAAAAGCGTAGGAAGTGAAATAAATAAAAAAATAAAATGAGACTTCGCGACGTTGCCTTGGATTGCAGCCACAAGCTAGTGAAGTATCGAACAAGAAAATATGGCGTATAATAGTTATTAGTATTTCATGACATCATAATAAGTTAAAAATATGTTAATAAATAAAAACGCGTACACAAACCGTTATTAATAAGATAATTTGGGACACTTCTTGTAAAGTTTAGTCTAGCTCTAGTTTATGAGATTGCTGCTATGTCAAGTTAATATACTGTGCGAGCGTGCAAGTCCTTTCCCAATCGAGCTGACTTAATCGTGCTTCAACTATAGGCTGCATTGTGGCTCTATCAAGTACCGAATACGCAATATTTACAAGTATACTTATTATCAGGCAAAGTAATTGGTCGAAATAGGTATTAAAATGGACCCACATCTGCCGAACGTTGCCAATAGGCCCTAAAAATCTATTTCAGAGAGTATTAAATTCCTGTATTTCGTTATATCCAGCAATAGCAATGTTACCGCGCTACAGATATGTTAGATGTTAAGGATACGTACGAATGGGTCGGCTCGACTGTAGTATGAAAACGCTCTCACAAAATACGTGAAACCGCAGAATTATGCTGCTGTGTTTCGTATGGTGAGTGGTTTTTTTTTATAAAATAAGGGTACGAACACACAGTCCACCTGTTGGTAAGTGAATGCTATGGCCCATAGACATCTACATTTAACCTCGATTAAGAATCAAAACGCAGATGCGTTGTCACCTCTGAGGACTAATATGGAACGCCTCGTTTCCAATAAACAAGGGTCTCAACATCTCTACACTCACCATACGAAACACAGCGATATTAAGCTGCTATTTTACGCTGGTATTTTGTGAGAGCGTGGTCCTTCCCCGGTCGAGCCGACCCATTCGTGCTACAACCATAATATAGCTGCAGCGTGGCTCTACCACGTATGAAAATGAGAAAATGAGTGTAGAGAACCAGAAACCATGTTCATGGTAACGAGGCATTCCATCTTCTTGAAAACTTATAAGAAATGAATTAAAACAGCGTTAAGGCTAAGTGTTTTGTACACTAGAACTACACTAGAAACAGAAAACAAATACGTTCACCTTAGTACCTTACTACTAATTAGCAACATCCAGTGAACATAATGGTCGCCACACACGGTCAGTTCAACTGATCATTCCAACTGATCAGTTCAAACTAAAACTAGTGATATTTTTTAAAATATTGGATTTTCGATATATCGATAAATAAACTTATAGACAAATCGCCGATATTGATATATTTCTAATTATCAATATATCGACAAAAAATATCAACAGTTTTAGTTGACTATCGAATCCAGATAACCCTCTACAGGATAAAACTAGAATCTAGTCTACTAAAAATAGAATCTAGAAAATAAAATTACTTTTCTAAAACCAAATTACAGCCTCAACGTAAGAATTGCGATACTCGTTATAACAACTTATATCAATCTTGTAGGAGAAATTAACTGAAGAAACGGCAAACCAACTGAACTTACGATTCATAATCTGAACCATTTACTCATGCAGATTCCAAATATGTCTAAAGCAATTTTCTTTAATAGCTAAATTTTTAATGGTAGTCCTCATCTCATACCCTCTCATATCATATATCATCTTCATATCCTAGGTTTTTTTATTTTGAGTTACTTCCTTCTGGTGTTTGTGGTGTGGAGTGTGGACCTCCCGAGTGGCACCAATTTTTTTTTTTTCATTATAAATTCTACTAAATTTACGGAATAAAAAAGGGTACCCTGTATATTTATTTGGGCATATTTTGCCAACTAATATATTAAATATCGTACGACAGTGAAATGAGTTTGGTGACCAAACAATATGGCCTTAGGCCATACGTATTGTGATCACTAGTATTCCTCTGCTATAGTGTGGCAATTCGTGCAATCTATAAAATAATTTATCTCTTTTTCTTTATTCAAAAATGTATTCCGTCACGGACCTTTCTGTAAAATGCGAACCGCATATGTAAACACCATTTCTGTTCCTATAGCAATATAATCCTGCGGCAACTTTTTACAAAAAATGAATCGAATTTTATCGCCCTAGCTTTTCGCCCTAGTTGCTCCAGAAACAGTTACATCATTTAAAGCACATTGTTATGAAAAATGAAATGTTTCTTGAAAACAATACTGGGTTTACGAGTACAGCATTAAAGCAGTTGCATACGAATACAGTTTGATGATAAATAATCTTTTACAGAATGTTAAGATATAATTTTCATTTACAAGACAAAATGTTTTGCTGCCGATTTCGCCAAAACAAACCAGCTAAAAACCGATTAAATATTTTATCAGATTTTTTTTAAAATGGGTGCTTTTATTTTTTATCTGAAATTTAATAATTTTGTTTGTCACATTTGAAATTAAATGTTTACGCATTTAGCTCACCTCGTTCCAATTCGAGAAAATGCATATAGCTCGTTAACACACATTCCTTTCGGTCTACCCTTTTGTGAGTTTAATAGTGCCAATAATTCTAAAACACAAAAAAACTTTTTTTTTGTAGTATTGTACCAGAAATATATTAAAAACATTTGTTTGTTTGCAATTGAGATCAGCTCTAACGTATGGGAGCGAAAAATCATCATTTTTTTACTTTTACCTCTGGTTCGGAAAAAAACTGGTCCTGAGAAGAACCGGCAAGAAACTCGGCGGGACTTTTTCCAAACTAAGTTTTAAATAAGAAAAGTTGTAGGTATAAACTATTTACAAAACTTACCTTGGAAGCGACCACCTCATTCACAGTGGTTATCATCACCCACGTATTCATTTATATTATAATAACCGTTTTTAATTATAGACTAAGGAAAAGTTAAGAATTTGCGTAGGTACATTTTTAAAGCGATATTGATCTCTATCATGCCGGGCAGGCCCTCGTAGCGCTCTACGAGCTACGAGGCTTTTTATTTCCACCATAGAATAAATAAAAGCTTCCACCCTGGCTATCCCAAAGATATATTAATAAAGGATTTCTGACCTATAAATAATAATCTTCTGCCTTTTTTTGAAGACAAAAATGAGTGGGCTTTTGAAAGGTTGAGTGTGATAAATAAACAAAACATACTTAAAAAAATAAAAATATACCAGTGTTAATGTTTGAAATTCACAAGTGCCCCAATATTTTTTAAAGAATAAGGATGACAAACGATCACATAGTCCACCTGATAGTAAGTGGATGCTGTGGTGCATAGACACCTACATATGTCCTCGATTAAGAATCAAAACGCAAATACGTTATCACCCCTGAGGACGGATGAATCTCTACACTCAACATACGAAACAAAGCAGTATTAAGCTGCTATTTTACGCTGTTATTTTGTGAAAACGTGAACCATCCCCCAGTCGAGCCGATCCATTCGTGCTACAACAATAATATAGCTACAGCGTGACTCTACATACCCCAAAGGACATCGTGCTAATTATAATTTAATACGACTCTTCTTACTTCTAATTTGCACCCACGGTCATAAATTAAATTAACATTTGATTTCAAAAGCTAAGCTTGGCACGCGTTTTGTTTTCAGAGCTATTCACATTCCTGGTAAATACTAAAGCGACTAGCCAAGCTAACTATAAGCAAACCAATCGTTTCCACTTTAGTACTCCATTCAACGTTACGTGGTAGAGCCACGCTGCAGCTATATGGTTACGACGAGTCGGCTCGACCGTGGTAGAACCACGCTCTCATGGAATACTTGCGTGGAACAGTAGAATAATATTGCTGAGTTTCCTATGGTGAGTGAGAACCGAAGACTCATTTTACGAGTAACGAGGCTGGCCATCTTAATCTTTAGAGGTGACAACGCGTTTGCGATTTGACTCTGAATCGAGGATAGATGTAGATTTCTATAGGCTGCAGCGTCCACTTAACATCAGGTGGACTACGAGCTCCAATAACTACCCTCCCCCCCTCTCTTACCCATTGGAGCCTAAATCATAAAAATGTTCAGGACTTAAACTGCCTATTTTAATTTATGTTTTATGTTTATAAAATATAATTTTCATTTACAATACAAATACTAATAATTAAATACTCTCAGCAGATTTCAGGCCAAGGTCGCAGCTCTCAAGCGGTGTGTGAGAATTTGAATCTAGCTTGATATTGGTGTAACTATTAGTTTTACAACGTTAGCTCCTTTTCACGTGGCTTATCCGAGGATAGATAGCACTCTACAAGGTTTCTTACTAACGCTATGTAAAGATAATAATTTTCTAGCGTTTTTCATTCCGACCGATAACAATACGTCCCATAGGCGTCGTAATAGGCGACTTTGGGACGTGATAGAAAAATTTAATAGACGTTTCGATTCGTTCGATTCCGATACGTTCGATTGAATTTTTTACGTGGTAGAGTCCTGCCGCAGCTATGTATATTAGTAGTATAGTTGTAGCACGAACGGGTCGGCTCGACCAGAGAAGGACAACGCTCTCACAGAATACCAGCGTATCAGAACAACACTGTTGTGTTTCGTGTG